ATTTTTTCTAATTTATTATGCATGATGAATTACATGAATAATTGAAAATATTAAATTAAGGACATTGTACAATTATTGTGCTTTAAAATCTTTTATTTTTGTTTATTGATTTTCTAGGAAATGTGTTTTTAGTTGCCAGCATCCCTGATATATAGTGATAAAGATTCTATTTTGTAAATAAAGGGGGTCTGAAATCTGTTCCTGGAGAAAGAAGAGGCATATTCTGTTCTCTCCCCCCATCTGGTCTGCCACCTTTTTTACTAGTTCTTACTAGTGCTTGTGTGTATTAATTTAAATGTCTGAAACCTAAAATAAATATTATGAGTTTGAAAACACTGAATAGTTATATATCACAGTGACAGCACTGAGCTCGTCCGTCTCTGGCTTAGCGACCAATGACCAACCTAACGCTCGAAAACAGTTTTGAGTCTGGCTGGCTGTTAACTTATGTCACGTCACCGAACATTCTGAATCCCTTATTTGGGTCAGTCACAGAAATAAAAATCCCATATATGGGACTGTACCGCTCAAAAGGTTAAAAATTTGTAACCATGAATACAAAAATGAAACTGAAGGGGCACAAATCAGATCTGAGAGGGCAATGCAGGCGCTGGGCCTATAGCTGAACTGCACCTCCCTTTGGTTTAATGAATATTCCTGCCAGGGTTTAGCAGCTAAATAAGAAATTGATTCAAATTAGCTTTACTGTGGATGTTCATATGGTAGACATTTTTATATTAAGTAACAAAGGCAAAGAGATAGAGAGTTTAGGTAGAGAAAAGAAACATAAAATGATGCAATGATTAGACAAGCACTAAAATTGGGACCTAAAATAGTTGATTTATTTTCTTAACTTTTTTAAATTGGGTTTGACGTAGAATGCATTTGCCATAGTAGTTCTACAACTAGTCGTAACACATGATTGTTCATTCCAAGCTGCTCTTTATAAATGTTTTTTTTTTTTTTTTTTTTTACATTCCACAGTTTTCCCTGGGGGCCTTGTTGTATCCACCTGTCCATGCCACGTGTCATTCCTTATGCCATCTCAAAGCAGCCTCTGTGTTGTGTCTGCATGTCCCTTACTCTGCGCACAGACTGGATCTGGGGGTGATTGGCACCCCACTCGTTCCAGTGTTTATAGGATCTACACTCTAACAGGTACTGAAATCCACGGTAGCCAGGGTACTGGTATCCAACCCACCTACAAAAGGAAAGAGCGTAGCATATGGTAACTCATGAGATAACATCAAATGCCTAGATAATCTTCATCTTTTGTAATAGTAAATGGTAAATCACTTACGTTCCACCATTTACTTGAATGCTGGCGACTCTGTCCTGAAAGCCATAACACCACAAACTTGGGATGTCCTCATCAGACACTTCCATCTTACGACCCTCAAAGTTCATGCACTCATACAGACAGATCTTATGGTCCTGGGGGTCCTACATGGAGAAAGAAACAGTTGAGACGGACGTTCCTCCAATTATTACAGTAATTGGTTATGTTTTGTGATAAAATGGGAAATGGACTGATATAATGTTCTCCCACCATCTTTACGGGCCGGACAGACATGAGGCGATCACATCGATAGCTGTTAGACCAAGTGTCCCATCGAGGGTATTCACCCTTCTCCAGCATGAACATCTCACCAGTCATATCCTGTTGCTCAAAACCTACCCATCTGCAAGACAGTAGAGGCAAACACACTGTAAATGGTCTTTTTTTTACATGTACATTATGGAATAAATATTTTAAAATCAAATAAAAGTTAAACTTTTTCCTAATAAATTGCACATTTTTAAATAATTTGGAATATTCACAAATAGAAATAAAAGATTAAAGAAGGTTTTTGAAAGAAGTCTCTTATGCTCAACAAGGCTGCTTTTATTTAATCAAAAATACAGTAGCCTACAAATAGTAATATTGTAAAATATCATAAAAAAGTGTCGCGTGATCGACAGAAATTATTCAAATATGCTGTTTTGGAGCTCTAGAAATATACTTAATATTTTTGCTTAATAACTTGAAAGTGACTCATTTAAAGTACTAGTTTCTTTAAAGGGATGGTTGATTTATGATTTAACTTTTCTAACTTTAGTTAGTGTGTAATGTTGCTGTTTGAGGATAAACAACATGTGCAAAATTACAGCTCTTCAAGTTCTATTTTCTTATAAAGAAATTGTTTTTTAAGGAAACGGGACTACATGACATTCCTCTGGGGTTAGTAACATCACCAACTCTAAAATTTACATAAACAAGACAGAATATGCTAATCAATGACTAGAAGACACATTCTAGTACTGTGGGGTATTTTGAGCTAAAACTTCACATAACACACTCTGGGGACATCAGAGATTTATTTTACATCTTGTGAAAAGGGGATTATACCACCCCTTATAAGCTACATAAATTCATCTACTAACCATTCAGAAATGTTGTCGCTTCTTGATTCTTTCCATCTTTCTGACTCGGTTTGAACATAAAAGGCTAAAAGTTTTTGAAATTTTCAGTGCATGGCTGTGTGAGGTAATCAAAGCTCCTAAGAAGCTCCGCCCTCTGTGCCAGGAGTAGCAGCTCATTTGCATTTAAAGGGACATACACAAGAACTGTGCGTTTTTGTTCACCCTCAAAAAGTGACAACTTTAACTTGTTATATAAAAATATCTGTGGGGTATTTTGAGATAGAACTTCACATACACACTCTGGGGACATCAGAGATTTGTTTTACATCTTGTGAAAAGGGCATTATACTACCCCTTTAAAAAAATCACTGACCCATATGCGACAAATCTTATGTATGATTTGTGGGATGAGTACTTACGGCCCACACTCAACTCTGATGGAGCCCACACGGTTAAGCCCCTTGTCACAAATGTTTCTGCACTCTCCACTCAGCTTCATTATGCTTCCTTGGAAATTCTCGTACTCAAACAGATATATCTGATCAGAGAGATCACACAGTAAAGGAAAATAATTCAGCGAGTGCTTCAATATTAGAGGAAAAAGTGAGAATCTGATAAGAGCATGCTGAGACAGGTTTGACATACTTTGTGGGAGCTCATTGCCTTGGTAAAGCAACTCCCCATACATTGTACAGCAGTGTGTGACATGGCTGAAGCTGCAAACAACAGAACAGAGAGAAGTTGAGCTTAAATGAAAGACTGAATCAAGATTAATTCCAGAATGTTACACACTCAATTCTTCTTTGCTATTTATCAGAACACATTAATAGAGATATCGCAACTTCATGATTCATGTGATCTATCTATCTATCTATCTATCTATCTATCTATCTATCTATCTATCTATCTATCTATCTATCTATCTGTCTGTCTGTCTGTCTGTCTGTCTGTCTGTCTGTCTGTCTGTCTGTCTGTCTGTCTGTCTGTCTGTCTGTCTGTCTGTCTGTCTGTCTGTCCGTCCGTCCGTCCGTCCGTCCGTCCGTCCGTCCGTCCGTCCGTCCGTCCGTCCGTCCGTCCGTCCGTCCGTCCGTCCGTCCGTCCGTCCGTCCGTCCGTCCGTCCGTCCGTCCGTCCGTCTGTCTATCTACTGTCTGTCTGTCTGTCTGTCTGTCTGTCTGTCTGTCTGTCTGTCTGTCTGTCTGTCTGTCTATCTATCTATCTATCTGTCTGTCTGTCTGTCTGTCTGTCTGTCTGTCTATCTATCTCAATCACAACAAATCATCAATCATCTATCTCAATCATAACAAACTTATTTAAAGGGTGGTCACTCTAAAATGATTGAAATGACCAATCAGATCTCACCTAAACCTTTGCAGTCAGATGAATGGAATGTAAAAGGAACGCTGGTGGAGGAAAAGATGCCGAGAAGGTAATGTAAAAGGGTTCTATATACATATATATATGCCAGCAGTACTTCGAAAGCTAAATGAGACCAGGCTATTGGATAAAAGTGATTGCCGTTTGGAGGGGTTTGGAGTGGAGGCTTATCTATGTGACCCTGCTGACTCTGCTCATTGCTTTGTTCCAGGCTAGGGCTGGATGTCTGATGTCTACCTCCATCAGCAAAAAGCATGGCACTCCACAGCCCCTATCTATTCAACACTCTTTGACACACTCTCTATAGCATGGCTAGCAATGTGCTGACCTCAGTAGAGTGGCTGCAGACCTCTCCATTGAGAGAAAGAGGACTTGTTGCCGTTGTGTGAAGCTTCAGCAGTTTTCTGTGTGATTACGGTTATATATTTATGTTGTCAAGGATTCTGGAGCTTATAAGTTTGAAGTTAAGTTTCCCACAAGTGTGGATTTAGGTACTCCACATTTAAATAGCCATGCATTTAATTATTCTCACAATCACACACATATGACCATTGACGAATCAAAAATACTTCTCTTTGTAGAGCTATAGTGAAACTCACCCAAAAATCTGCCAAATTATGAATCAATCTTCTTATTTATTTGAATGCCATAATTCACACACTTCATTTGACTTAGTCATGCACCTCCTCGACTGGGCCCCAGCCATGCAGCCTGCTTTGCATAAAGTCAAAGGAGTGGGCAGGACATGGATGTTGAATGGATGTGCTTGTAAGGCCTGTTGCGTGTGTATGCATATGTGAGGGAGAGCGTCTGTATGTGGGCGAGTATGTAAAGGCAGGTGGAAAGGGTTGTTGAAGCATTCTGTAGCTGCCTGCCACCGCACTGAGAGGAGAGCAAAAGGGTCTCAACGCAGCTTAAAAATGGACTTTTAATGATAGTTAATTGTTAAAAACCATTGTTTTTTGTTCATACCCAGGATATTTGGCATCTTTGTGTTGTCTTTGCTGGAATGATCTCAAGTCGAAACAGCTTGCTTGTGTTTCTGCAAGCATGTGTGCTTTGCAGTACACTCTGGTCATATGTTAAAGCATGCATGGAATCACTTGCCTGGCTTCCACTCCGGTGGCAGATGCCAGTAGGCATGATGCCTCCCTGGCTACGGCAGATGGCATTGTGAGCTGGGTAAAGCCAAAGGCTCAGTCCAAAACAATGAAGCCTGAGGCAAAGTGCTGACTCCTGCCTGCCCTGTGGCCAATCTTCCCTTTCTGTCATGCTACATATAAATAGAGCCCTTAGTCGGAGGTCTGGAGACCGTTGTGTGGAACTCCTGAGTGCTTGCAGATATTTGTTGGGTAGGTCAGGTAAGCCCGTCATGTTTGTCCTTTCAGCCTCTGCGGTCATCTTTTACTGTGCTTTTCTGATCTGCAGAGCTTATGGGAGGGGCGCACATGCACAATTGAAAACCCAAAACAAACATAGCAAGCATATATGGGTGTCTTTGTCAAAATAGACATGATTTCTTTTGGGCAATATGGGCAAATATTGCAATATGGGCAATTTTTTATGTATATATAAAATTAGTGATGAAATTAAAATATTTAAAAAAATTATATAATAAGCTTCGCATAATCTACAACCTTCTAGGCAATCTTGATATTAAGGACAAATCGGATATTTTAGCAGTTGCTGATATAATCTGCCATTTTTAAATTTGTAGATACCTCAATGTTTTGGAAATAAATCAGTATATTTCAGTAAGCTGTGCTTTTATCCTGTTAGGTTTGAAAACAGCAGCAAGGTCTAACTTGTTGGCTGCCATATCTTTCTTGTTTATTTTTTTAATCCCTAGGCTACTTGTAGAGTTAACATAAATGATATAGAACCCGTGCATGTTTTCTTTCTTTCTTTATATTTTTTAACAAAGGCTATCTGTATTGTTTAGGTGTATCAGCATTGAGATATCTTCAAGGATGGCTCTGACTAATCCCATGCCAATGGGGCCATGGAAGGCAAGTAAACACTCAATGTCGGTCACAGTACAAAAGGATATGGAATAATCTGAATCACATCTCTTTTTGTCTCTGTGAATATGTGTAGCTCACAGTCTATGACCAAGAGAACTTCCAAGGCAAGCGTGTGGAGTTCACCTCAGCCTGTCAAAACATAATGGAATGTGGCATGGACACTGTTCGCTCTCTGAAAGTGGAGTGCGGCGCGTAAGTCATGTATTCACAGACTCATACTATCTAAATGAGCCCATACCAGACTTCAATTGTTGTTGTAACATGCTAATTAAGTACTACAGTTTAACCCCTAAGATAAAAGTATTTGCACTTTAAAAATATGTATATTTTAAATAATATTAATAATATTGTGAAAAAAAAATGAATGTATTTGAATAATAGGAAAAGGATTTTGGATATCTTCATGGGAAGATTTCCACATTCGTATGTCCCTATGACGTAGGGTTTATCAGTACCACACACAAACACATACACACTCCACATTTTATTTATGTAGCATGTGTATATTTGAACAGCTGGGTGGGCTACGAACACTCCAGCTTCTGTGGGCAGCAGTTCATCTTGGAGAGAGGCGACTACCCTCGCTGGGAGTCTTGGAGCGGCAGCAATGCCTACCACATTGAGAGACTAATGTCCTGCCGGCCAATCTGCTCTGCTGTGAGTCTGAAACCATATCAATAATAATCAGTGGCAAAATGGTTTAAACATCTCTCTAAATTAAACACAATCTCTTCCGCTGTTATGATCTATGCAGAATCACAAGGAGTCAAAAATTACCGTCTTTGAGCGGGAGAACTTTATCGGAAACAAGTGGGAAATAACTGACGACTACCCCTCTCTCAAGGCCATGGGCTGGCCCTCCAATGAGATTGGATCCATGCAGGTGCAAAGTGGGGCGTGAGTATCATACTTCTCTCTCTCTCTCTATAAGGCATTAGCGTCTGGTGCTATAATCAGTGTTACCTGTAAGCTGCACACATGCATGGCCACGCACCTCTGATGATAAAACAAAATGCCATGCTGAAGGAAGAGTCAAAAAAAGATATTTGAATGCTTGTATTATATGATATTAAATGATATTATTAGATTATATAATATTATATTATTATAAAAATAGATAAAAGAATGGCACAGATAAAAAACCTTAAAACCTTAAAATGTGCTTCATATCTTCTAAATTAACAGCTTGTTAATTTTGACTTGGTTACATCAGGGGTCAAATAAAATACAAAGCACTTTAAAGTCACCATGAAATTAAACAATTACTATATTTTATGGAATATTGCAGTATTTATTTATTAAAAATGATTTATACAAGCAAAAATCATTATTTTTTTATAAATTCATGTGCCCTCAAAATAACTTCCCTTCCCTCTTGCATCGACATCTCCTCTCTTCTCTGATGAGGTGTTTACTGGCACGGGGGTGGGACAACCTGTCACTCACATGAGATCCACCAATACTAGCAAACCACATGTTATGAAAGGGAAAAAAAGGCCTATCGCAACTTCCGTAAGCACTTTTGAGTGTACACTGCTCAGGTCTTGTAGAAGGGATGCTTTTTCTCAGGTGGCCGAATCGTTCGTCATAGAAAGAGGTTTTGCTCAGCAAAAAAATAGCAATTTATAAAGGGCACATTGGCAAACCTTCCAATTTTTGGGATACTTGGAATTTCAAACTAGAGATCTCAATTTGCATTTGTCATTGTGTTTCCTCACTACATGCAGATGGGTTTGTTACCAGTACCCCGGCTACCGTGGTTTCCAATACATCATGGAGTGTGACCACCATGGCGGCGAGTACAAACACTACAGGGAATGGGGCTCCCACGCTCAGACCTTCCAGGTGCAGTCCCTCCGCAGGGTTCAGCAGTGAGCGCAGCTCGCCCAGCACCCTTCCTCCCTCCCCTGCCTCCTCCTCCTCTTCCTCACCTCCACCCCTTCATTCCGATACCAGCAAGCCCAGCACAGGCTGAACGTCTGGTGCATTCGGCAAAAGTTTACAACGCTTTCTTCTTTCTGCATGCCATCGATTTGAAAGAAAAGAGTCAGAGGAAGAACTCAAGCAGACTGATTCTGTGAGCGGCACAGTGGTGTGATTTAAGCTTCGCTTCTCATCACTGTCATGATGCAGTCTGTGCAAAAGAGATCAATAAAGGGTACACACATGAAAACCAACCAGTGTGAGAGTGTGTTTGATGCATGCAGTGTAGTTTGAAACTAACTTTGTGAAATGGCCCAAATTTTAACCATGATTAGCACCAAAACATCCTATTGTTAAAAAGAGTTGATTTCTAGTGGCTTGTGGGTACAGGGACAAAATAGGGTGCAAAACTGAAAACGAATAAATAAACTTTTATTGTTGTTTTCACTTATGTTTGGGTGCGGTGTTGATTTTCTGACCTGTCACCTATTATGATTACATGCTAAATAATTTATTTATGATAAATATTGTCAAATCTATTCACTTCAAGGAAGGAATTAATTTAAACTGCGTGTTGGATTCAAATGATTTGCAGTTTCATCTACTGAATCACCACAATCAGAAAAAAATCTTACATTTTTGACAAAACAACTATATTTTATATTTTATTTATCTACACGCAGCAGCAAGTTGCTTAAACTTGGAAAATTATCTAAAAATTTTAAACAATTTCTGTTGTGTGGTTGTGACAATAACTATTTTTTATTTCTTAAACAAACAAACAAACAAACAAACAAAAAAACAAACAAAAAAAACAAAAAAAAAAAAAAACAACCACCAGAGCCTGTCTTAAGGTTATTATAACATTAACATTTCACAGGTGTTGAGATATGGACAGAGGAAAGATGTTTTAGGGGTAGTGTGTGATAATGAAAATTGGTAATGGCATAATAATAACAATTAATAATAAAGAATAAATAAAATTAAATATTTCATTTTTGTTAAGAACATTGGCCTATAATATATAACATTACATACATACATATATACATACATAACATCTAATCATTTCACAGTGTAAATGGTGCTTTTAACATACAAATGGTAGGTAATGTTATGAGACATTTTTGTGGTACTAAAACAGGCTTATTTTTTATGTAGCCTATAATTTCTCATGCTCTTATTTTGGTCTTGGGGTGATTCGCTTCAGAAAGTGCGACTCTTCTTCTAGAGATGACGTAGAGAAATGGCGCCATCCAGCGCTTGTCAGAAGTGAAACTGTCCTATACAAAAGCTTGAAAAAACAACAACTACACGATAACAGTCTGGAGTGAGCAACGGAGCAAAACCCATGAGCAAAACACGTGTTGCCTACTCTTCCAAACTTTGAAATTTGTATTTTGTAACATTCCTCAATTCGCCCTCAAAGGACATGTCTATCCTGTTGTCAGTGCTGGCCGGTGTGCTGGCCGTGTACATACTGCTCTATTACACCGTGTTTAAAGGAGCTAGATTTAAGAGCAGTGTCTCGTTAAAGGGTAAAACAGCAATTGTAACAGGTTTGTAACATTTAAACGCTTAAGTATGGTAGATATATGATGTATTTGCATATTTATATCTACTGTAGTTTCCTGTACATCTGAAAACATTTAACGTTGTCTCAATTACTCACGTTGTCTGAGTAATCAATACTCTGTAAATGCAGGAAGTAATACAGGCATTGGAAAACCCACAGCCTTGGATCTAGCCAAGAGAGGGGCCAGAGTGATCCTCGCCTGCCGAAACAAACAGAAAGCTGAAGCTGCAGTTTATGACATAAGAAAGGTGAACTCTTCAATTAACCCCAATTCCTCCCAGTTCTTATTACATTGAGATAAGTCTAAAAGAAAGAACTTGCTGTATATCCTCCAGGAAAGTGGGAACTCCCAGGTACTGTTCATGCCACTGGACCTGGCCAGTTTAAAGTCAGTGCGAGATTTTGCTGAGACTTTTCTGAAGAGTGAACCGAGGCTGGACTTGCTCATTAACAATGCAGGTAATTTAAGAGGCAATCTGGTGTATGAACACATGCAAGAACATGATTTCAGTGTGTGAGGTTTTCCCTGTAGGTGTTATCGCATCAGGCAAAACTGACGATGGCTTTGGCATGGCGTTCGGCGTCAACCACCTGGGCCACTTTTTGCTGACGCTGTTGCTGTTGGATCGTCTGAAGCAGGCAGAGCACAGCCGCGTTGTCAACGTGTCCGCCCTTCTGCATCGGTTGGGTTCTGTGGACTTCAACCTCCTCAACACCCACAAGGATCTGGTCACAGGTCAGTCTTCCTGGTACGCATTCAGAGCCTACTGCCACAGCAAACTCTGCAATGTGCTCTTTACCCGTGAGCTCGCAAACCGCTTGGAAGGAACAAGTGTCACCTGCTATTGCCTGCATCCAGGTAAGTGGTCCTTCGTTTTTTTTTTTGTGTGCCATTATGTCACAAGTATTATTATTCCTCCTCATTTTCTTCATTGTCTCTTTTTAATAGGTGTCATAGCCACTGAGATTGGTCGAAATATGGGTTTGGTGCAGAAGCTGGTTTACCCGATCATGTCCAAGCTGTTTTTCCTGGACCCTGAGGGAGGTGCGCAGACCACACTATACTGTGCTTTGCAGGAGGGACTCGAGCCTCTGAGTGGACGCTACTTCTCTTCCTGCGCTCTGCAGAATGTTAGCGCTGACGGACGGGACGATGCCCTGGCCAGGAAGCTTTGGGAAGTGAGCGAGAGGCTGTGTGGCCTAGCTTAAGTCAGCACATGCAGGTTTGTGGAACAATAGAACTCCACACACACAAGCATTATGAGTATACGCTGTTGAGGTTCTTCATTTAATTCAAAGGTGCACATGTAGCTGAGGTGGCTGGTTTTTGCATTTAATATATATATATTGTTTTAAAATATTTTGTTGCTTTACATTAATACAATAATATAAATTAGGGGTTCACACTCGTATTTCATTTCTGCTTGATACCATAACCTGATCATTTATTTGTGTTATGGACCTATACATTGATGTAAATTGTCTTACCTGATTTAGGCATCAGAACATTATAATGTTCAGAATGAAATATGGATATTCGTTTTGAGATTTGTAAAGATTATATCTAACATTATTATTATTAAATTATTATTATTTTTTTAAGATTGACTAAAGTGGAACCAAAAATGGGCCAATAACTAATGTGTCAATGTATTGTGCATCCCTACTTTAAATGAAGCAACAATATGTGCATAGCTTGGGAAACTGAAACCAAAGGAACATTTAATGTCCTTATGATATGTTATGCTCATTATTATAAAATATTTAGAGGTGAAGTAGAGTTATGATTTGTATTCACTCAATGGAATTTTTATTAATGCTCTCTCTCTCTCTCTCTCTCTCTCTCTCTCTCTCTCTCTCTCTCTCTCTAAAAGAACATCTATATATTTTTCTGGACTTATAACTTTTATAAACATGCATGTATGTGTTATTGCTTTTTTATGATCAGTTCTCTTGACCCAAATGGGAACATTGCATCCACTGATTCTTTTTTAACTCATGACCAATTCAAATACCCCATGTATTTGAAAATCTAAATCAAACGACAAAATTAAAAAAGTAAAAACAAATTCTTTCGTTCATTTAAAGCCTTGTCAGATATTGTACCTATATATTGATAGGATGTTGTACCTTTTTGGTTCACTGGGGGGCAGTAGCGTGTCACATTTGGCCATCTTCAACTCAAGGCAACACACAACCTTAAGAGTCTACAGAGACCTCTGTCAAGATGACAATCATTAGAATAAAGTAGGTTAGATTACACTGAGAATTGCAGAAGTAATTTCATGTCATATTAGAGTTTGCTTTTCCACTGAATGAAAGTGGGCGTCTGGGGCTACAACCATTCAGTGTGATGGGATAACCAAAAAGAAGACTTGTTATAGACCCTTACCCATATCCCTGAATCTTCGACAGAACCCCCATTGCTTTACCTCATAATTTGATATTCACGTTTTGACACTTTTTTTAGACCTCATCTTAGCATCCTGTTTATGCTGATATTTTTACACTCCATACTATCCAGGTGGAAGAATCTGGTCAATTTTACCCAGTTTTTTCTGTGCACTTATTGTTTTCTAACCTGAAAGTATCAGATCCATTGACTGTCACTTGCGTCATATTTCTAAAATCCATTCAGTGCTCATATCACCGATCATATCTCATATGTTGGCCGCCTCTCTGTGTGTTTGTTCTCAGGCACGGTAAGTCTGTAACTACACCGTCCCCTTCGATTCGTTTTGTAGAAGCAAAACACATTGATGAGTGACGGCAGGTGTTTACTTTGGACGCACTCCCAAGCTCTTTGGCACAGTACTTAACGACTGGATTAGTGCATCAATTAGCAATCACTGCATGGGAGGAGCCTGATTGATCGAGACTGCTGCTGCTGCTAAGGCTGGGCGTGGGGCATGCTGGGGCATGTGAGTGTGGGAAGTAGCTGTGTGTGTGTGTGTGTGAGACTGTGTAGTGTCCAGCTGCTTGAGAATTAGTTCAAAGGATTAATTTCACTGTATGATGGCAGAATAAAACCATACGGCCCTTGTTGACCTTGTAAGGATATCACATGCATACCTGGAAGTGTCACATGATTGTGATTTGCTAAAGCTAATGTGTTAAAAAAAAGAAGATAATACAAGTTGGAGACCACTATAATATATTCATATTTGATTATACTATTAATATTGTTAATTACAATGAAACTATTATAGTAATTGTGTTTTAATTTATTTGTTGAAATGTTTATATGGTTATAATACTACATAAACATTCTATTAATTGAGTATTATGATGAGAAAATTAAATAGATGTTAATACAACTATATGATTTAATGTAATTATATGATATAATGTATATAACATAATTTATAATAATATTTAGACTACTATTTTAATGAATTTTGAGACATTATTATACATGATTATAATATAATAATAGATTTGTCTAATTAATAATATAACACACCTTATATTTTTACAACTTAAAATAAACTGTTTTCTATTTGAATATATTTATATATAACTTTCAGCATCACTAAGAATACATTTATTATTATTATTGTTATCAATGTTGAATAATGTTTTTTTTTTTTTTTGGAGAGAAATTAATAATTTTATCCAGCAAGGATGCATTCAATTGATCAAAAGTGACAGTATACATTTATTGTGTTGCAAAAGCTTTCTATTTCAGATAAATGCTGTTCTTTTGAGCTCTCTATTCATCAAAGAATCCTGAATAGGAATTGTACACAACTGCTTTCAACATTGATAATAATAAATGTTTCTTGAGCAGCAAATCAGCATATTAGAATGATTTCTGAAGGGTCATGTGACACTGAAGGCCGGAGTAATGGTGTTAAAAATTCCGCTTTGATCACAGGAATAATTATGTTTTAAAATATATTCAAATAGAAAACAGTTATTTTAAATTGTAAAAATATTTCACAATATTACAGTTTTTGTTGTATTTTGGATCAAATAAATGATCCATGAGCCTGGGTGAGCAGAAGAGTCTTATTTTAAAACATTAAAAAATGTTTAGATTTTCATTAGATCTTACCGTTCTAATAATTTTGGACACCACTTTGGTGCAAAATGATATGCAGTTTTATATTTATTTTGTATGTTCACCCTTAAAAAACCCCAATGAAATCAAAGGAGTTTTGTGGTTTTTAGTCCATTATATTTGTGGTTTGTGTGCCAAACAATACTCATAAATGTTGGCAAAATTAACTTTTAGCAGATATGTGCATCATTACAATTTTCAGAAATACAGACCAAAATTAGCGATGACAAATGTCCACCTGTCCAATCAGATGCTCTAGTATGAGAATGTCCCTTCCCTTCACTATAATCATTTGCAGTTACAATTGCATCTAAGATGACTGAAAAGTTTGTGTATCCTGTTTGCTATTTAAAAAAAAGCTTTTTGTATTATCCACTCAAACTGTCATTTTTAATAGGAAACATATCAAGCAGTTTCATTATGAGTTATATTTGTAATAACATAATTGGCTGAGGGCAGTGAGATTATGTCATTGGCTTTGCGTACAGTGACTGGCAGAAGGTGGCAGGTGGTCAGGGGAGCAGCACACTTCCATCTCAGCCTGAGAGGAGGGAGAATGGCAAAGTGATGCTGGGTCTCACTTTAGAGTAACACGCGAGGTGTGAGATGAGAAGGGGGGTTTGATTGTGTGACTGGGTGACAACATTTTGGAGATACATTCAGATAAAGGCTGCTTGTGTCACGAGCAAAGCCTTCCTGTTTATCCTTCTCGTCCTCCCCGTGCAGAAATGCCATCTGAAGGCGGTAAATAGAAGCATCCTCTGGGTCATGTTATTTCCACAGGTGCAATTAACACCCCCATCTGCTAATCTGTGATTAACGATGTTTACAAATATGCTGCACATGCCGGAGAGTGTCAGAATAGCTGCTCACACCTTCTTCTTACTCTTTCCTATCTTGTCTGTTGTCTTCCATACTATTGTGTTCCTGGAGAAGAAAATTAGGGTTTGGGTGGGAGGTGGCAGAAGGAAACCAGACCCTTAAAGTAGTAGCATCTGAGCAGGGCAGATTTAGGATGAATGGATGGATCTAGATAATTCTAGTTCGCTATCTATATATAACAATGTCATGTTCGTTAAACCTGTCAATAATTTTTTTTTTTTATCTCCTTTTTGCTGTGATGACAGCAGCACTAGTTGCATGACGTTCACCATTTTATGTAAAACCTGCTGTGTTCTGTTCTCCTCCATGATTTTGATCCATTAGATTTTTTTGATGTAGGCCTAAATTATAAATATCCAAGTTTTATAATATAAATTAAATGTAAATAGGCCTGATTTGGTAATATCTGATTTGGAATTTATTTAATGATGATTTTTTTTTTATTAATTATATTTTTGATGTCAATTTAATCGAGTGCTCATAAGAGATCACTGCATTAATTGTTGAAAATAAGAGGAATGTTCTCGAGATCACGTAATGTTACAGTGCAGCGATTCTCGGTTGTACGTCACACGCATCACACACATGACCAGCATCGGCCAATAGTGAGCCTGCATGTGACATACAACACAGAGGCCCACAGAGAAGGAAATTAAAGCTGCTTTTTTGGGGTTAAAATTATTATCTAAAGTACATATTTGAGAAAATAAATAACCAGCCAGTGTTCAAAACTATCTGCTTACCTTTGCTTGATTCAAAGTGGTAAGCTTGTAATAATGTTTTCAATTCCAGTGGTACTGGTGGATTTCCACGGGAGATTCGAGCATGTCTTCGCGTCATTTTGTCACATCTGTACACAAAGAAGGAGTCTCGGCTATATAAGCTATATTGCGTGTGAGGATGTTGGAGGTGGAGATTTATAGCCATTTCTCACAGCACTTGATATAATTAAACATTAATTCGATGGTGGATCCAGAAAGGTTCAAACAACAACAATCACCAGTGACAACAGATTCCCCCGCTGTAAAATGCAAAAGACTTAGTTCGGACTTCGGAGTTGCTAACTTACAGAAAAAAAGAGACCGCAAAAAGACCCATGCGAAAACAAGGATACATATCGGAAGGACATTACATTTAGTCACGCAATGCTGACATTGTTAACATTTAACAATTTAAAAACAGTATAATTTGCACAGTTTGTGTGATAAGTGAATTTTTGATTTAATAAGTGCTATTTACTGCCATGTCAGAACCAGAACAAAAGTGGATGTTACTTGTTCAGATGACATTTTCCGATGAAAATTATTATGTTGGTCATACTTCCAAAAAGAATAATCTGTGATTCTGAATGACAGTATCCACACAGTCTATGGTCCACACTGGTGATTGACAGCCGCACACTCCCCTCAAACATTGTGTTCATCACATCCGTGACATGCCGAGGTACAACTCGCGTAAAGTTGATAATTCCGCGAACAACTGCAATTGCAGATTTCAAACAGAGATGGCGACAAAAAGGAAAAACTGCGGAGTGCAGCTTTAAAAGTTGAATAAAGTTGTTATTTTTGTTTTTCTTGTGCACTTAAGTATAAACCTTGCCTTGCCTTTGTCCCTCTGTGTGACCGACTCGATCGATTATTTTAAAAGGCATCTTAAGACACTTTTATT